AGACGATGCAGGCAAGGTATAAACCTCTCCTGAAAAAAAGGGTAGGCGTTTGTGCAGAGGCGTAGATGTGTGCCTTCTCCAAAGAGGGATCTGGATGCATAGGTTACAGAGGATTATCCTAAAACTGTCTCCTTCTATTTTGTAATCTAGTGATTCCCTACCCCAGCACAGCAGTTTATTACAGTAAGGACACAATTTAGCATCTCTCTGAACATACCACTATTACTGAATGTATTGTAATTAGTTCCTGCTTGCGAAGCACTTGGACAAGGAAGAACATGTACGTGTTAAGTGTTAGAGTCATTACCATTCACCTTTACTTGATACATTTTCATTTTATTTAGCCACTTGTGACCAAGGCATCTGCATGTCTTTGAGAGACTAAGGCATCTGCGAGCCAGTGAGACCACAGGAACAGAGGTGGAGTCCTGAAATTTGCCTTGCTCCAGAAAGCTGAGAGGTCGCTGCTAATGTAATAAGTACTAGTTAGTAATAAGATACTTGTAATAAAATATTGCAATTAAATTAAATGTATTGCCAGCCTTGAATCTTCAAATAAATCATAAGTTGGACCAACTTAAAAATAATTTAAGATAGTTCTTGTGTATTTTTTCCACTTGGTAGATTTCATGTTTTCAAGGCTTTCTTTATATGCAAGAACTAGGGATTTTACTTTTTTCATGATAATTAAAATCCCCGTGTAATAACATCTTTATCTTAACAGGTCAGAGCTTTAAGGAAAATGAATGCTAAGAGTAGACAACAAGGAAAAACACATGCAGTCGATTGTGAGATGAAGTAGACACCACCAAAAAAGGGATATATAAGGGCTGGATTCATTGCTACTAGTCACATAAAATGAGAATAATTTCACTGAAATCTACAGGTAAAATCTCAACCTCCCAAACTCATTGAAAAAGTGGTCAGGATCACCAGGGGGGAGGGAAGACCAATAATTCAATGGAAACAAGAGTGAACGTAGGCCCTGTCATTTGACCAGACAGTCTAAATGACAGAAAACAGGATCATGTCCTCAGCTGTTATAAATTTTGTTTGTTTTCACTTTGCTTCTCCCTTAGAAGAATACTGATTTGCCTGTCTGATGAACCAGCATTTAAGGCTGAGCTTTAAGGCTGGGCTTTAGGTCTGACTTTTAAGTGGAATAAGAAGACGTCTGCATGGGATGAGCAGATATGTGCATTTTAGATGCATATACAATTATCTGTGTGAGGGCAAAATCTGTTCTACTTACAAATGCATGTCATATGGTCTTTTTTTTGCGTGCGTGTGCTTCTGTTAAGGTGCACATCTACAGAGCATGAGTACTCAGAGAATCATCAAACCCCAGTGTCCAGGTCTGCAAACTCCTATTCAAGTGAGTCACCACTGGCTTCATGAAATAATTTTTCCATTGTGAATTTGTAATATGTTCTCTGTGGTATAAATACCTTAAAAGATAGTGATAAAATTCACTTTATAAAAAAATTTGAACTCAGTATGAGTGAGGATTACTCATGAAAGGAAGGGCACTGACACTTAAACCCTGAGTTATCCAACTCCTTTTTAAAAACTGGTCTCTAATGGTGGTTGTAAAACTGAGTGTCTTTTGTCCCCCCTTTCCTGTTCCCCCTCCTTCGCAGGAGATATTGCAAGTCAAAGTTTTAAGATTTAAAAATGTGGCCTCAATGCATCAGGTATATTCACTGCAGATCCTTCACTGCATTTCTAGACTGTGAGAAAAGTGAATTCCACCCTGAGATAAGAGACTCCCCTGTCTGTAGTTCTCTGAAGATACGAGAAAACACAGGCTATGGGCTCTTTGAGTAATTCAGGGGCTCAAATGTTCAGGAATCCTTCCTGTGCCTGCCTCCACAGCAAAGCAGTTACCTTGGAATGAGATTTTTTTTTTCCTTTTGAAACTCTCTACTGATGCAATGCTTCTGCAGTGTAGACACTGGCAGCTACAGAGGCTGAAGGCTATTATTTGTCCATAGAACATATAATGAATAAACAGCAGCAGTTTCTTCAGCCCACCTCGCTAAGGAGCCTACAGCTCATTTTGCAGTGCAACCCTCCACATCACTTCTGCTACTGGTTCAGGGGCCAGTGCCACTGAAGTTCTCAACAGATGATGCTATTAATACAGCACCCTACTATTTATTTTTTTCTGTATGAAAGGGAATGGAAATACTTGTTTTGCTTACACAGTCCTCTGAAGAGCCATTAGATGGTACTAATGGTGCTTTCAACTTTTGGCATCTCTTCTAGCTGGGGTTTGAGTACAGGCCTTGAAGGTAGAGGGCTTTCAAAAACCCATTTGCTTGCCAATCCCCTGAGGAATACCAGCTATGTTGGTATCAACATACTGAAAGATGTGTGGTACCAGCCAGCAATCCAGGTGCTCTCAATGGCAGAATAATAGTTTATTGAAGGAGACAGGTATGTGAGGGTGAGCCATGAAGTAAAGATGAAAAATTTCTCTTCTGAGGCCTTTTAAACACTCTTACTGAACTACCCTGTCCAAGTAGTGTTAATTAAAAGCTTTTGGAGAGTGTTCTGTTTTGTTTCCAGATATCCCTCCCCCATGGGCATTTACCAATCCACCATATTGTAGGGAAAAGATGCTAAGAGTCTCTCTGTTTTAAAATAGAGAGAATTTTAGAAGTAAAATGTAATCATTTTTTTTATAAGTTCTCACCATTCTACATTTCTTTACTTGACAGTCATGTATTTTTTTTTCAGTGCCAGTGGTCTGAATAGTAACGGTGTAGCATGAGTCAGGCTGTCACACACTACTCATTCTGAGCAGGAGTCAGGTTAAAAAGCTCACTCCTGTGTCCAAAAGAACTGGGGTTGTTACTTTAATATTTTAAGGTGTTTGTTTGTTTGTTTGTTTGTTTCTGATAGAGGAAAAATCCCACAGAAAAAATATCCCTTCTGGTGTGAGATGGTCCCACATCCTTTTCCCTCTTTGCTTATGTCTTTTAGAGAGATCATTTCTGCAGGATCTAGAGTTCAGCTTCCTATTTTTGGCACAGTGTCCATGCCTCTGACTTTGCATGGGAACGGTTAGAGCTGAGAAAGCAAAGCTGAGTATTTATATTACAAGGTATGTGAGTTGTGCCTAGAGCCAAGCAGCCAGAAGTACAGAAGGATTGCAGTGTGTAGGTATACACCCCATTCTGCACAGCAGACAACCAGTAGGCTGCCTCCATGAAAATGTACTCCCTCCTTTGGCATCCTTTTGGTCAGGCAGAAACAAAGCATAGGCCAAATGCTCCAAAGCATCCACTGCTTTGCAGTCACAGTGGCCCGTTCATCAGCTGGTAAAGGCAATGACAGTTACTTAACGTTACTGGAGTTACACATGGATTTAGTCCAATTGAGGACTTGTCCCAGATTATTTTTCCTTCCTTTTTATTTTTTTAATGCATTAGCAGATGGCAAATATGCACTGAACACAGACAAACTACTGGGTTTTGAGGGCAATGGCTGCTTGCAATGCTAATTTGGGGCTTTATGTTTATGCAAGCTAACCTGAAGGGACACATTTCAGAGCTGGGTTGAAGCAGCAGAAAGACTTGAGCCGCGAAGTGCAGGGCCCAGTACCTGTAACCCATTTAAAGCTGGGGTGTGTGGCTGCAGGGTTGGGTGTCTGCTTGTTCTGAAGAGATTCAGAAAATAAGGCAGAAACAGATGTTAAGAGATCACAACTTCATGCATTTCCACTGTTCAGTCATGTCAAGATGAGGCCACTTGCACAATGTGTACCTCAGTTCAGTCTCCAAACACCTTCATCCTGTGAAGGTATTGGCTTTATGGTTTGGATTCAGGCCAGATGACACTCCACTGCAAGCTGATATCCACGTGTTCTCCTGGATATGGGAAAATTCTAGTGCATTGGTATGTGGTGGAACTCAATTACTAATGAGCATCCAAAAGCAGAGATTGAGAGATGTCTACAAATCAGGTGATGTCAGATATTTTTTCGTCTAGTAGTTCTTTTGACACACACACCATGTCTGTATCTGCAAACTGTGGCATGCTGTTGCAGACTCATGTGGAACAAAGCCAACATTTCCCATAAAACTCTCTTATCCTTGCTACAGAAAGCAACCTGGGATAACCATAAAATACCTACTGACCAAGCTTGAACAGCTCATATATTACCAAGCACGAGATAGTGTCTAGTTCAGACTGTGCAGTCACAGAATAGGAAGAGAATGAAAACCAAAGGCAAGAAGAGGCCATTTTCCTGGCAACAGTCCTACCCACAAGTACAGTGGAAAGATGTGTGACACTGAAGTCAGAGTTTATCCTGGTGACCACTGAAGGTACATGTTATGGTGTCCGCTGACCTCTAGGAGCTCCCAGTGAACATTTTGTACCTCACTTTTTATTTCTTAGTTTTTTCTCTTACTTTCATCTAAGAATTATGATATCCTTATGTTAGGTCTGATATCATGTTTTTCCTCCACATAAGATATTCTTGTGCATTATGTCCAGATCTACTTTTTTTTAAAAAAAAAAAATAATTCTGATTCATTTAAAGGAAGCAAGATGCCATTGTTGTGAGTGAAAATCGCACTGACCTCACCTGAAAATTCTGTACACAAAGACTTTTAAATCATTCCAGTGGTTATAGAATTAATCATAATATCGTAGGCATTCAGCTATTTTTTTTAATAAGTGTGCTTTAATTGGGCGAAAGCATAGCTGACATGTTTAACTTACACATCTATTACAGGGTAGAACTCACTTAACCACTCTGTTCTAATATGATTTCCTGTGAAGTTAGCTGCATTTTGGCCAAATAATTCTGCAGCCAAGACTGATTTCTCTGAACATATTTGCCAGCTGGGACTCTATTAGGTTAGAGCACCGCTTCACACAGTAAGGACCTGCGGGTGCTAATGTCATACAAATAAATAATAATATGTTGCTGTAGAATAGTTTCAATAAATAATTCATCACAGATTAAGTATGAACTAATTGCTCACGATGTTGTTTGCTGTGTCACTGGCCACAGAAGTCCTGGGATGTCGTTCCTGCTCTCTGGCTACACGGCTGAGGATTTTTTAACAGGAGAGTGAGAGGGTGGGGGGAGGTGACTGCTCTCAGTTCCTGGGCATGTCCACAGTTGATAATTTATTCATGCATTTTCTTCTGATTCTTTGGTCCAGTTTTCCAGCTCATGTTTATCATTACAGCTCCCTGGAAGTCAATGGAATAATATTAATTTGTCCTCTTTTGACTGAGAATATGACTAGACAAAATTTCAGTCAGAACTGAAGAATAAAATAGAAACCTCAAGTGTTGCTAATCCCGAATCTAAGGGCCTTATTCCTTGCAGGTACTGCTCAGTCACTGATTCAGCACAATCTTTTGAGCATTTGCTTAAATCCCATTGACAGTAATGGCACACAAGCACATGCCGAACACAAGTGCCGCAAGAAAACATTCTGGCTGGTCCTCGGGAGTCCTTCTAACAGCAGATCCTTGAAATGTGAATGCAGCTCTAAAACTAAAAGCCAGTTTATCACATCCTGAAAAGCCAGGAAAATGAGAAATCTTCCTCTCAATGTGTTACTGCTCATTTCTGCTTTGAGGAACCAGCAGTTTTCAGATTATGGTTCTAGCATTTTTAAACTTGAAGCCCTCAAGTTTAAGACAAAAACTAAACTAAACTATTGATTAGAAGAAAAGACATGGAGATATTGAGAGTTCAAATAAAGCAATGAAGATGCTTAAAAATCATCATTTCTTTTTAGCCTTTTAGTGTCTTACTGACTAGAGAAGCTCAAGACGACAAATATGACGTCTCCCTTGCTGTGAGCCAGTGGAGATCATAGCCCCTAGCTGACAATCTTTTCCCTTAGCTCTATAGGCTATGACCACTACATCCAACCCTTGGTGAAATGAGTGTTAAATTCACTGAAGAGTATCAGAAATTGAAATACACAGGGGGGAAAAAAAATTTATATTTATATATATATATATATATATATATATATATGCCATACAGTTTTCTGAAGCAGCTGAACTTGGAGAAGACAAAATCAAGGGGGGGCATTAGGTCAATTTGAAAATAGATAACAAAACAGACCATTGTTATTATTTTCTATTTGATCATTTAAAACATTTTTTAAAAATCAAAACTGGCTTTGTCAGAAGTGGAATAAATTCCACTCTGTTCCACTAAGCTGCACATCTTTGGCCTGATTTTTATCCTCAGGAGAGTGAGCAAAGTTTGACCAGCCAATTTACTGGTGTCTGCTCCCCACCCCTTCCCACCTGGTATCATGCTCCTTTCTGGGCTGCCTCTGTAACAGCAAAAAGCAACAGCTCCTGCTCTGTTGCTTCCCAGAATATAGCAGCAGGATCACCCCCTGCCTCCTCTCCTAGCAGAGGCTGCCCAGCAGTAACCTAATAAGCAGGGCTGGGAGGCTTATAGAAAAACATCACTGAGATGGAGATGCAACTAGTTGCACAAAATAAATGTCAAAAAGGAAAATTCCTCTCTGGGAACATACATCAGGCAAGTTTTGGTCACATACATCTGGATTTAGTTCTCTCTGTAATGTTAGCTGGACAACAGTCAGCTCCTGGGCTTGCAGATCTCAGTCTCACTCTGTCAAGTGCTGATCACCCAACAGACTTCACGGACAGTGAAAAGCAACTCAGACCAGCAAGAGACTAAAGCTGCCATTTTGCAGGATCAGGCTCATGGGCATGGTGCAAGAGACCAGCCTTCCCTCTGACATGTGTGAGGGGATGAGGTACTAAAAGATCGGTACAACAAACTGGTGCCTGCAATGTTCACATAAGCAATGTTTTGGAGGCAGCAATAGTGATAATAAAAATAATAAATAATGAAAATACAAACCTGGGTATGGTTTCTCTTAGATGCAAATTAAGATTTAAATATAAAAATGATAGCCTTCTGCTAATCCTTCTTAGGAAGTCATAAATTGTTAATCAGACCTTAGGCGGTGTTGTTTAATACCAACTTTAATAAAATAGCTGCCTGAAGCAGAAAGACAGTTGGGATCCTGACTCTAAAACTTTGGTAGCCTCATCCACATTGTTGTAGCCTGAGGCTCTTACGCTACCATTGATACCAACTCCTTTGAAATATGCTCATTTTTTAGGCTGCTAAATTATTAAACACCTTATTAGTAGAAAGATTAGATGGAAGAAAAGTCATCTCTGTATGACGGAAAATGTATTGGAAGAGGAAGGAAAAGTTGAGGGAATATTTACATAAAAGATACAGCTCTGTTGTTGATATACCGAGGTAATCCATAATCCATAATTCATTTAAGAAATGAACCCATCAAATTACATCACAATGCGTGACAAATTGCTACTGTTGAGCTCTCCTACAATAAATTACATAGAATCATTCCTGTCAAGAGTAAAACTTGTTTGAGACTAAAAAACGAACGTTGCTACAAGGTTATTTTCCCCGTTGTTCCACAGGGTTTGTCAATCACACACAATGTCTCACACTTCCATGATATTCATTGATGGGGGTAGCAAAAGTTCCCTTATACAGGGTAACCACAAAGTCTGTCAAATTAAAACTGCTTTGAAAATTGAAAAAAAAAAAAAAAAAAAGGGGAAAGGAAGAAAAAGGAGAAATGTTTCTTCCTTACTACTCCTTAACAATATTTTTCAGTCAGGCAAGCAGATATTTAGACTAAAAAATATAAGAAGTAGTCATTTCCTTAAGTGCTGCCTTTTCAATGTATGTCCAGAGCAGCTTGTTAGCCTGCTAATTGTTTAGTTTAATATGCAATACTAAGCACACTTACTACTTTGAAGTGCTTATTCATGATGTCATGGATATTAGTGTATATTTCTTAATTACACAACAGGACAATCTTTCCTCCCTTCAACCTACACTTTCTGTCGCTCTGATTGGCTTCTCTAACTAGCCAGAATAATCATTTTGCTACACAGAAGCAGATAAGGAAAAAAAAATGTAAACACTTTTAAAAGCCATTTTAATTTAATAACAAACTGGAAGCTGTACTTTGTGTTAAATTAGCACTGCAAGCCTCATATCAATTCAAGGCAAGGTTCCTTGTTCGTTACTGCTTAATTAATCAGTCCTGTTTCCATCTAAATGAAAAGTTTTCTCTCTCTCCCCTATCATCTCTAATATCTCATTTCAGGCAGCACATCAAGTTAATCTTGCTTACATTAGCAACTTATTTCTAATGGCTCAGCTCAGTTATTTACAATAATTCATCCTATCCCAGCTCGCAGCTGAATCCTGCTTGATCTCTACTCTGTTCAGACAGTCGGAGCAGTAAACGGTAAAGCAGCAAGTGCAGAGTGAGCTCCTCCAGCCTCGTGACACACCACGTGAGGACAACGACCTACTTCCGACACACTGATGTCCACTGAACTTTTGGCTTCCTGGCCATGTCTTGTCTTCCCAGAGGCAACATGGGGCTTAGGGACATGGTTTAGTGGTGGACTTGACAGTGCTAGGTTAACAGTTGAACTCGATGATCTTAAAGGTCTTTTCCAACCTAAATGATTCTAACAGGCACAGAGCTGGGCAAAGGATCATTATCTTATAAAACAACAGCTGAGCATGAAACAGTCCAGTGGAATAAGATAAATATGTAAGGTTAAGAGAACATAGGAAGTTGAGTGGTGCCTGAAAACATGTCCTCATCACCCCTTATACAGCACATCCCATAAATAAAGTTGGGATAACCATGAGTCCTGCACTTCCATCATTAGTGTATATAAAAAATGTCAAACCTTCTACCATGTCACCTTTGAAGGAAGTGAAGAATCAGACTTTAAGCACCAGCTGGCTGAGTATCTTCTCCTTGTGCTCACCACACCATTCCAGAAGTGGAAACTGCTGTTGCTGCCGTAATGTGGTACTTTCCATCACCACAGTAGCCAGTCACACCCAGTTTGGGACTTAACACATGACCCCTGGTGTTTTGGATTGCAGCAACCCAGCCCCAGTCAAACAGTTATTGAAGCTGTTGTCACTGGTAGCCTATGTGCTTGTTGTTATTAAATTCAGCCTCCAGAAATAAGTTTTCTGCCTGCCTTCTAGGGCTGGGATGCCTGGTCATGTCAGGATGCCTGTTGCCAACACTCTGCCCCCCCAGGAGGCACCACTGCTCCAGCAGCTCCATCCCACAGTGACCTGAAGCCTCTGAGACGTAATAGATACTTGCTCAGGTCAGGGTTCGAAACTAAATCTGCACCTGAGGTGCCTGCATCACATGAAGGCTGGTTTTAACACCAGTTTGACCAAGCATAAATACCTCTGTAGTAGGCACAAGATACACAATATTAAATGAGCCATTCCAAGAGACGAAACCTGCTCCTGAGGAACCCCAGTATTTACTTTTGCTCATCCAGGATTCAGGATGGTATTGCAACAGGAGACAAGGATGTTTAGTGTATTTCAACATCCTAGATTTGCAGCAACCAGCTTCTGACCTCACATTTAACAGCCTGGTTGAAATTACAACCTGTTGCTAAGGAAAACTCTGTCATACCTTAAAGTAACTGTGATATCAAGTAGCTTTGAGATATCTGACAAATTAATTACGGTAGATTAATGAGGAGCCACTTCAGAAATCCTGCAAAAGACACCCTAACATGTTACAATATGATAATATAATTCATTTAATAACAATATAAATTCTGTGCTGAGAAAAGTGGGAGCCTATTTTTGTGTTGTTTGTTTTTTTTTTTTTCCAAGAGGAAGATAAATCCTTTCTACAAATCAGAGGGCACACTTCTGTTTCTGATGGGAAACACTGCTCTGAAAAGCACTGAATTTCAAAGCTCCTTGAGACTAGATTGTCTGCAGAATTGTGCTGATGGTTGTAAATATTAATAAATAAGATTAACTGGGGCAGCTTTTTTCCTTGGATGCTTATGCACTGCTTCCTCTTAAGTGCAGATGACCTGAAGACGCAGGCACCAGAAGGAAGAATCTGAGCTAAGAACTGGCTTTAGAGATGTAACGCACAGCGACACTTGCACAAAGGAAAGATGTCCCTGCTACCTTCCAGCCAACAAATGACAATCAGTCCAGTCCTCTGCATCCCCACTGCAACTGCCCCCAGCTGCTGATGGGAGCAGGACAGCAGAGAATCCACCTCCACGCTGTACAAATGAGCCAGGGCTATATTGCTGGAGGGGCTTCAATGGGAAATGATGATC